AAAAAAGAAGGAAAAAAAAAACATTATAGAACTTTGAGCATTTTTTAATTACAAATTTAGGTGATTCAGGTGTATCTACATTTCCACCCACTGGGGATTGAAGAAAATGTATTAATATGTAATTATTTCAGACAGGAATAAAATAGTTTTTTTTACTTTGCTTTGTTTTTTTAAACCATTCAAAGCCTAAATCTGATAAGCAATTCACTCAGAGGACGTAAGCTCAAGGCTGGGATTCACATCTTATTTTGGAAATCCAGACTACTTTTTCATTTGGCAGTTGGAAATCTAAGTCAGTAAGGATCACATATGGGGTTCTCAAGGCTGTGTTCTTGGTTCACTTCACAGAAAATTATGACACCTATGATCAAATGCTGATAACATGCAACTTTATGTATCTGCACCACCGCCCCTCCATTAAAGTTGGATTCTGTGCACTATGTGAGCAAATGGGTCAGCATTTCTTCCAATTCCATACACAGTTCGAAATCAGTACTGAACCAACTTCACTAGGCCAAAACACCAAAGAGCATGAAGAAGAAACGTTAGTGTAATTATGGGATATAGTATTAACAACTCCGTTACTAAATTATTGTATTACTGTCTTAGAAACATAATGAGAATAAACTGAAAAGAATAAACAGGACACAGAAAAACAAATCCATGCTTTCAATATCAATGTGTTTCATCAACCAAATCAGGCAGCTCAGAGTATTCAAAAACCAAGACTGGGACATAGAAAATGAATCATATTTCACTAGTTTTTAAGTCATCATGGCCCTTAATTGTAAAACATTACAAGTTTAAAATCAGTGACATTTATCATGTTTGTTGGATGTTACCTATCAAGACCCGTAAAACCATTAGACAAACGTGATGACTCTGGATCCAGAACACACAGAGACATAATTTAACATCTATGCTCCTCAGCTCTGGAATCAACCCACTGAAAACTCGAGATGTACAGAGAGTGGTTGATTTTTTAAAAAGGGGACTCAAAAATCTTATTGTTTATCAGAGTTCCCAAAAAAGGTCAAACAATACTTCATGTCTGAGGAATGATTCTGTTTTAACATGCAGTCAACCTTTACTGTCATTTCATGAGATTATTTTTTCTCTTTAATTTCATTTTCTATCCATCCATTCCTCTGAGTTGCCTTGTGAATGAATGTTCCAAGTAAAGTAGACTAGCATCTGTTTTTCTTATTACTATAGCATAGAAATATACCTTTTAATATTTTTGCAGCTGTAGATCTTATTTATTTATTTATTTATTTATTTATTTATTTATTTATTTATTTATTATTAGCTGCAAATAGCTCTTATTACATACCCATTATACCATGGGTAATGAAAAAAATAGTAAAAGCTTAAATTAAATATTTAGCAATATATAATTCTATGAAGCTAAGAGCAGAGGAGATTTCCCCCAACAGTTATTGTAGTCATATTAACTTGGACCACTGCTCTTTTGTTTGACTTGTGTGGGTTGTTTCCCCTCGTCACAGCAGGAAACAACTTCTTTTCTTTCTTTCTGTAGGTGTCATTAGCACTTACAGTAAGTTCAGTAATAACTAAATGTGAGAAAATGAGCCTAAGGAAATGCAGCAGATGAAAGGACAGAGTGTGCTTGTGTTGAAGTTGCTGCTACAAAGGTTGCTGGTTCAACTCCATGTCTTCACGGTCTCACCCCAGGACTGACACTGACAGTAAGCTGAAACTACTCACAGGTTTTGGAGCTCATGTCCACGCCGTCCTTCGAACTGAACTCTTTCAACAGGGACACGTACAGTATGCCGAAGGAGTTCTGGATCCCGAACACCGAGCCGTTGCACCACATGGATGCCAGCATGACCACCCAGCCCCAGCCGCCCTCGGGGTGGACGAACTCGACCTCCGCCGCCGCAGGAGGAGAGGCTTTCTCCACCAAGTCCACCTTACACTCTCCGTTCTCCTTCTTCTCCTCCTCCGCATTCTTCTCCTCCGCAGGGACGTCTCCGGCGGTAGTGTCTTTGTTGTCACTTTCCGTCACATTGTTCCCCTCTGTCATTGTTTCTCTTGAAGATGAAGCAGCTTAGAGAAGGAAAAAGTTGGAGGAGTTTCTCACGGAGGCTCAGGGAGATGAAAGTGAAGTTGTCGGAACAATAATGGGCCGCTCTGGGTCAAGGTGAGGTTGCGTTCATTGAGATATGGCTGTGGTTCCTGAGGTTCTGCTAACAGAGAGGGTAATAACTGTCAAAAAGCTGCTGTGGCAAAATTATAAATAGACATCGTCGAGGGGCGGGGCTCCGGGGCACCCCGCAGCTCATTGGATGCTGAGGGCCACGCATTGCATCAGAGGAGTCACATTTCTAACTCTGCAGAGTTCTGGAGAAACGAGACGTCCCGTTTGATTATCAATATTACAGAATTCCACAGAGGAAACTGATCCGGCATCAGGAACTTCTACTTTACTTACCAGTATCCCCAAAACAACTGGAAAGGATCCAAGCAAAGTTGTTGGCCCCTGGCAGATTTTATTTTTTTTTCAACCAAAAGCATCACATCAATAATCAAATCTTAAGGATAGTCTGAATAAATCCAAAATTCAGCTTTCAAATGATAATTTCTTTTAGGGCTGCAACTTATAATTTTAGCAATCAATCATTCAATCAATTATTCTGAAGATTAATTGATTAATCAGATAAAAAAGATGGCACATTCTAGAGAGTTTTCATTTAACTCCTTCAGCCTTTTTCATACAATATTTGAAAGATGCATTAAAAGATGCAAAGAAACTTGTTTTTTTTTTAAAATACAAAAATAAACATTCCAATATAGACTGAAACACAGTTAACAGTGGTTCATGTTATGAGTCAGGAAACTAATTCATTTCGTTAACTCACAGAACCTGTTTTCAGTCATTGTATTTTATATTTTAAGTTTTTAAAGTGTTGTAATTTCCGGACTGCTACTTTTTCTCTAACGCTTTGAACTCTGCGATGCGGTTAATATTCAGATTTTTACCAGCGGGTTTAGAAAGGCTGGACAAACATCATTACCTTTCATTTACTATATAAATGAAAGGTATACCTGCTGAAACTCTATTTTCAAAAAGTACTTTTGATCTGACCAACAGGCCTCATCCGAATCCATATTCTAATTTAATGAATATATGACTACGGCATTAGTCATTTACCGAACAAATCTGAAAGGTAATTTTTTGAAGATTGGAATCTGCTGACTAAAGTGTTATACAAAGAACATTTTTGTCAGCAATTCTGTCCAAATATTGTGAGTCTTTGTAGCACTGTAATTTGTGTTACAATATTGAACAATATGAAGTTTTAGAAATTCAATTTGCAAGCTAGAAACAATTTACAGTAATGAATAACAATTTAGAAACAAAGCCAACCAGACATCTGTGAAAAGTTGATAAAATAAGTCGAAGTAGTTTGGTCCTCCATAAAATCTAGGCTAGACCATTTTTTATTTATTTACTTTTTTGTTAATTTTATTGCTTTTGTCAAATCTTTTCTCTTTTTTTGCAATATAAGAACCAAATGTTGACTCCATGTACTAAAAGAAAAAGTCCCAATTTGGAGTAAGTGTTTGGAACTTTACTGTTAAGGTTGAAATATCTGAGTCAAAGCAATAAATACACAAGATTAATTGAGTAAGTAAATAGTACAGCATCAGTAAGACAAATCTGCCTTTTGAATCAAACACCACCAGTCATGCAGGTCACATGATGTAGAGGACGGTGCTCCGATCAGATAAGACCAAAACTGAACTTTATGGCTGCACTGCACACACCGACGCCACTGTGAACATGGTGGTATTGGCAGCATCATTCTGAGGGGATGATTTTCCACCAGCAGGAGAAGGGAATCTGGTCTGAATTGGTGATTGCCAAATAAAATATAAACTTGTCAGAACATCTCTTGGAGGTTGGAAAAGAATCTTAAATCTATAAACTACTTACAAGACAAATAACTAGTGCATACTGCTTACCCTTTTCTAATTTCAGTCTGTCCATACATATACAGGAAGCATTAATCTGGAACACTTGTTGGGAACAGTTTTAGAATATTTTCCTTTCCATAAAATGAACTGAACACAGGGAATGCGCTTCCATCTGTCCAGGGATCAAAGGTCGGAATCAGTTTGAAAAGCAAACCCTCCATATTAATTTGAAAGTACGTGTCATCATTGATAAACCAGAACTTAATTTCCTGCTGATGCATGTTGCAAATGAGTGTGAAAAGCCTCCAGACTGCTCCATCTGCAGTGAGTAGACACTGTTGTTTACTGTCCTGATTTATTCAGGAAGCTGCATCTAATTTTTAGTCTAATTGTTGATAGCTGCCAGCAGAAATACTGAAATGTATTTATTTCCCATATAACACTTTTCCAAACATGTACTTATCTGAACTGTTGATACAATGGTGCTTTGACCATTTTATCATTAACACTTTAAAAAAAATCAATAATATTCTCCAAGTGAAAAATTATTGTTGACCAAAATGGCGGTTTCAGAAATGGGTGACATGGCTGTCTGCCCAGACACCTGGGGAGAAACAAGACAGATTTTAAAATAATGCAAGTTGTGCCCTGAAGAAGTTTACTACTGCGTGTGTCCATTAAGGGGCCAACAGGCGCCTTCCTGTGGTGTGCAGGGGGATCGTGTTGCTGAACTCCATGATTAGCTGGTGATAGAAAATTCTGTATCTGATTGAAAGCTTTTGTTTTAACACTAAGTTTAAGGGGTATTTCATATTTATGAATCTACACAGTATTTGACCATCTCTGGTTCAAAATCTTAAATACTTAATACTGGTCAGACCTCAAGAAATTCTTAAAAATATTTTTTAAAGCTTCATTACACTAGGACTATTTTAGATTGAGATTTGCACTATTGTGCTTCAACGTTGACCTGGAATCTTTGGCACTGTCATTTAGGAGCAGCGAGCATGGGTTGGAAACTATTGGGTTCCGAATAAAATTACAAAGTCTAAAAGTTGAGATTTTTTTATTTATTTATTTATTTTCCTTTTAAATGATGTAGACAAAAAAAACTGACTGAAATGTTTCTACAACGTGATAACTAGGAGATGTTGGAACGTTCTCTGACTTCCTGAAAGTCACATGAAAAAGGACCCACATATGGGTCTGCAGTGGACTGGAGGCTGCTCACATGCCAGGAGGCCCTGAAGGCAACACATGAGCTGATGTCCATGAATCCACCTCCATGGCTTCAGCTCTCCACTTTGGCCACTTTAGGTTCCTGATCTTCATCAACCACCTCCCCTTTCCTCTTCCTCAGGCCCTTCATCTTTCTCGTTCTCAGCTTGGACAGATCCTGTTTCTGCATGTGCACCCGGCCAAACGAGGTTCCAAAAACATCATGGGAAATGTTCTTCTTCTTCTTTGGCTGTAGTAATAAAAACAACAACAACAACAAAAAACAGGTGTTTTATCATCAGAACTGTCAAGCTGGACAAGGTTTTCATTTTACACTGCATAGTAAGGTGCCCTCTACCACCATCTTGAGGACATTTACAGACATTACACATAAAAACGTCTTAAAACATTTTAGTTCTTAGAACTGAATTAAGTACTTTGGCTGCTTTTATATATATATATATATATATATATATATATAGTGTTGCCATGGATTGTGTTATCTTGTATCTTGTCTACTGTTGTGGTAACAAAGGGAAGTCAAATTTTGAAATTATGTATTACTACAATTGAATTGTTCCCCAATTATTGGCTTTGCCCCAATAAAGTAAGTTTAAATGGAGTTATACTTTAATTAATCATATTTTTTGCTCATTAGTAGAAAGAATCCTGTTCTTCTGAAAAATTTTGCCACTGTATCAAAAATGGCATTGAGTAATTTTCCTTGTATCGATGCCAAGTGTGAAATATTAGTACCATAACAACCGTACAGTGACCCGGAGAAGCTTTAGTAATTCTGGGAGACATTTCCTACATCCACAACTAAAACTAATCTGAACAGTAAAGATTTTCAAATTTAAGGTAAAAATTACAACATAATGTACAAGACAAAAATGTAACTTGTGAGTGAACAGAACAGGAAGTGCTTTTATTTTGGCATTTTTAGCAGGAAGTGTCTTTGAAATGTTGTAGCTATCTTAGCAGCAAGAGATTATTATTTTGTTCTGAAATGATTCAGTCATTAAACAGTGTTCAGATCATTATTATGAAGCTACAGCTAACATGAACAGATGGTTCCAAGTCATTAATGTCCAATAATTCACCAATTACTAATAACCAATACGTTCAGAGTAAAACGTGCAGCTGCTGCAGTCTGCAGCTAACATACCAGCTTCCTGTCACTCTTCATCACACCAGATAAAAACTACAATGAAGACTTCAGTCTCAGACCACAAGACAAAGTCAAGTCTTCAGAACCAGAGTCTAAAGTGGGTCTCAAGTCTTAAGTTTACAATAATTTTTTAAATAGATCATCTGCTCTCTGATGCTTTAATCCACTGAGATGCCTGCTGTATGTTGTCATTAGCAGCAGCAAGCAGTCAGGTTTACCTTCAGGGCTTTGGGCTGCCTGTGAGCCAGCTTGTACAGGTCGTCTGACGCCAGATGTGTTCTTCTCATGACAAAGTCGAACGATGGGCCGATCTCTTCCAGCTCAATCCTGGGCGTGCGACACCCAGACTTCTTCAACAGACACCTGCAGCCCCACAATGACACGCCTGTTACTGCAGAGCCTCTGGTATACTAAAAACTACTAAAAACTGAACTTCCTTCACTTCTCACAATATACATCTCAATCTTGTTCTCACTTGCTTTATTTCTTAAATCCAAACAGCCAATATCAGATTTGTCTCCATCTACTAGCAGTTCAAGCAAATATGAGAATATAAATTCAATCAGGAAAAAACACAAAATAAGATCATTTTAAAACCACAAATTAGACACTAAATGCTTAGATACTTTTTATTTTGTGTGATTATAGTAAATAATTAAATGTTAGATAATGCATCCAAATTCCTGATGTCCGTTGGGATGACCTCTTAACTTATAATCCTACAATTTAATGTCGGAAAATATTTTCAAAATAACTTCAAATACTGACATCATTTTATAGTCTACCATGAACATAAATGTATATTTTTGATGGATACATCACACCTTCCCTGCTATAGTTTCATACCCATGTTCATTTTTTCTGTTGTTAAGAGTCTGAACTTCATTGTCATAGGTTAATAAGAAACTAATCAGCAAAATGTAATTTACATTTATAATGTAAATTACAAATTCCATAAGTTTTTTTAATGGTTTAAACCCAGAAAAAGAGTCACGTCGACTACAGAGTGCGTGGCATCTGAAGGGATTAAGGAACATGTCCTTTACTTGCCTGTAACTGCGCATATAAATTTTTCCTTCCAGGGTGGTGAAGTGCAGAACATGCTCCAAACCTGCCAGACGCACTGCAGGCACCGTGGGGCCTCTGAAGAAGTCTGACAGACAAACAAATACATCAGCAGAGCAGCTGCATGGCAGTAATGAGCTCCAGTCCCTCAGTGATCTCTGCATACCTATGAGCAGACTCTTTAGTCGTTTGTAATCGTTGTCTGTATCAAAAATTTCTCCAGCAAATATGAGCATGGGTTTGGTTCCTTCAGGAAACTTGCTGGTCTGGAACCAAACAAAGACACAGTGTTTTTATTAGGATCTGTTTCTGAGGCTGGAGCTGTTATCTTAGGACAAGAACTGAAAAAATATTGTCATATTGATACAATCCATTTCTACCAGGTTGTATGTGTTTCTAGCAGAAGAAGCTGGATGTTTGACCCAGCAGAAGGTGAACCTGGTTCACCGAAGCTTTACTGAACTCCTCTTTCGTTAGACATTTTCCATAAACATTTTACTTATAACACTTCAGTCACAGACATTGAAAATCACAACTAGAGCTGCAACTAATGATTACTTAAGTAATCAATTAATAACATAAAAATAAGAAATTGGCACATTCTGCATATTTTTCAATTAACCACTTAAGCCTTTTTATACAATTTTGAAAATGCAAATAAACAAATAATTAAACTTCTTATTTAAACATGGGATAAAATGTATTCCCTAAAATGCCATAATCTGATCTTGCATTAGCCATGCTATTGATCACATGTAACAAAAGATACATCTGCAGTTAAATAATTCTTCTAACATCAACATGTGAAAAGCTCAACTTATCAATACAATGTAGATCTGTTAAGTATTCTCTAGATTAAATGATTAACAACTGGACAGCAAAAGGTGCTTAGAAGGAAATTGTGTGTTTCTTTTAAAGCAGTTGAACCAGGTGAAGCTAAAACAATGGTACTTCTAGATAAAATATATTTATAGACAAAGGTGTATTTATCATAATTCAAAATGTGCATTTTTTTGGTAAACATTTGACTTAATTGTTGTTCTTTCAGTAAATGGCTTTTTTTTCCAGTTAATGATTAAATCAATGACTGAATTAGTTGACTTTTTATTTCAATAGTCAATTAATCATGACTAATCATCTCTGCCCTAATCACCACCTGTCCATGGTAAACCCAACCAAACCATTACCTTGATCTGACTCAGAGAGATAAACTTCTCAATTCCGAGTTCAAACATGTCCAGGACATGGAAATCAAACATTCGACCTGCAAAGTATGAAAAAAAAAGAGAGACCATCCTCAGTCAATGCAAACAAACACATCTCACACACTGAATAATGGTGCCAGCTTTACTTTCATGCTGCAGACTCATGGAGAGTTATCTCCAAGTAGCAGATGATCAGGATTTACCAAATATGAAGTTGTTGGGTCGTTTCTTGTTGTGGGAGCCGAACAGAAACAGAGAGCAGTCTGATTTCTTGGAGAAAAACTCCTGAAAAGGGACCAGCAAGGAACACTGGAAATACAGCAACTCAAACTGTAAAAGAAGCAAGTCAGATAACCATGACACTGACTTACCAAGGATGTGGAGTCCTCAAAAGGCCGAGTAATGTTCTTTCTGGAAATAACACACAACAGTACCTCCATTTAGAATATAGATATATATACCTGTTGAATAAGTCATAAGAGTGTTGATTTGTCATAATGTGCAACTATAATTACTGCAGGATGTTTAACTAACTTAAACCATTGCCAACTGCAGAAACATTTACAATGCGTTTGTGTGACTTTTGATTCCATTTCCTTATTTGTTCAAGAATGTCAGTATTGTCAAAGTCTAACTCTGGATCAGCAGACGGTTTTCAAGTTGTAAAAACATAACATGTTTTAGCCTTGAAATTAATTGCGGGACTTTAATCAAGTTAATTACAGAGTCTAGGATTAGATAATCAGATTTTAACCTAACTATATGTAGCTAAAAATAAACAACATTTTCAGTTCAAGAATCCACTTTGCTGCTAAATTATTATATAGATAAACAGAGATATTTATTGCTTCTAATCTTTTATTTATGTTTTTCAACCATCAGATTGGTACAAAGGGATATTCTACCCATTCAGATATTCAGATTTCACGTATTTCAGGTCATTCATGGAAAAACAACAATAGATGTGGATTAGATTCAACAAGCATTAAAAAAAATCAGCCTACACATACTAATACTCCTAAATGTGTTGAATCTGTCACAAATAAGCTCTTAGGTTCACTTACTTTTTATACAGCACAGCATTTGGTTTCTTCAAGGAATACTACAAAAAAGAAAACACTTTTGTGAGATTACATAATATTTTGTCAGGTTTTTTTTTCAAAGCTCACTAATCTGACAAAAAAGACAATACTGAGATCCACCTTTATGTGCTTACTATTCTTTCTCCCTGTAATGAAAATGTGTCAGCCACATAGAGGTAACACTACAAGCAATGGCATAATTTTGCACGTTGTTTTCCCCATCTAGTTTTGAAGCGAGTTATACATATGAAACTAAACAGAAAAACACAGCGTTTCTTAATAACTTCATCAGTAGCAGCTTACTATGTCTTTGAGGGCTGTAGTGACGATCTGACTGGTGTTTCCTCCTTTCATGATCATGGTGTTCTTCACATCCTCAATTAGTTTGGGCGCTCTGCTCTCCAAGAAACGCTTTGACCGCTTTGTTTTCGGTTTTCTGAGGAAACCAAGAAAAGGCAAAAGGTAAACCACTAGAGCTACATTACGGTTATGGCAGAGAGGCAGTGGTGTTTTAAGACATTTAAAATCCGTAATTGTATAGTACTTATAGGAAAAGAGTTTAAAAACATGACATTTTGTATTTAAATAAGCTACTTATTTGAAATTTGTCAGCTAAACGTTTGAGAAAAATTATTTTAGAAACTGAGAAAGACCAGGTCATTGTTATGCTCATAGACGCCTGATGAACGCTGGTCAGTAAGGGTTTCTCTATGCTAACTGCTGGCTTTGTGTTGACATGTGTTACAAACACAAAACTTGTGTCACTGTGGAAACCGTTTGCCTAGACGTTAATTATGACAGCAATCTTGACAGAAAGTCATCAGATAGTCACCAGATACCCGTGTACATGTGACTACTTAAGTAATACCAGTAATACCAATACGAGTTTCGGTTCGATATTACAGACTTTAAAGATTAGAGAACATTCATGAGTGTGGGCTTAAAATTCCATTACCGTGAAAACAACCGTCTCTAATACAGCAAGAGTTAGTTAGCTAACTAGCGAGCACGCAGGTTAGTGTAAGTTTTCTTTCAAGCAAATATTACATGAACGTCTAAAAAATAGACATTTAAACCCAGAAGCTTCCTATAAAACAGTTATCATAGTTTACTTACACTATTCCGTCTAACTGCGTCATTTTTTTAGACTTTATTACTGTCGTTCAGCAGTGCTGCGCTCGTGCTGCTCTTATATCCACGTGAAGCTTCGCACCGGAAGACAACAGGAAGTGCTTCTTCTTTGCTCATATGTTTGGTTAATATCGCTGTATGTGTTACTGCCACCCACAGTCACAACTCTGACACTGCAGTTCAGATCCTTCTGTCAAGTTATACCAAAAAGATCAGAGATGTTTTATCAGAAAAGAGTGAACAATTCACATTCTGTCCGTCAGAGGGCGACATGATCCTTCTCATTAAAACGCTGGGAATCGCGCAGTTGGTATCGCTGGTGTCTTCCAGCTTCAGTGCAATTCACAACACCTCATCTCAAGCCACTTAGCACAAAAAAAAGTTAATTAAAATGCATTCATTCTAACAGATCCTATTTATCAACCGGTTAATTAAGTTTAGTTAAAGTTTTCTAAGGAAACCCATCAGATTGCATTGAATCGTGGGCTAGCAGCATTCAGTCCTCCTGAACCAGCATGTACTGACAGTAGACAATCGTTTGTGTTGTGTTGTCTTTACAGGAATTCCTCATACCGAGCATGCTTGTGGCGACAGCAAGGAAGAAAAACTCCCCTTTAACAGGAAGAAACCTCCAGCAGAACCAGAACTTGGTGCAGTGCAAGCAGTCATCTGCCACAGCTGAGTGGGGTACTTCTATCAGTACTTCTGATAGAAGTACTTTCTAGAAGTACTTTCTGCCCATGAAAAGTAAAACTGTGCAGGATTGTGAGAACGATTAGCAGCATCATCTCAGCTAAGGCTTTCCTTCAGGAAGATACCACAGCCAAACAAAACAGACCAGGTGTAGGTTCTACAGAGAAGAAAAAGTCAGTCCAAAAACATGACCATTAGGCTAACTGGATCAGTGGTGCACTGCTAGCCCCTCTTAAAAATACTATTTGGGCTAGATAAACTAAATAATTCAGTTCAAAAGCATAGAGTCTTCAAGACATAAATGTAAAACCAAATAAAATGTTCCAAGTATTTTTAAGCTGTGTCACTCCAAAATTTTAACTAGCCTAGCCATCCCTATGAAATTTTTCTGGGGTACCACTGTAAAATATGTCAAAATGGATTAATAATCTGAAACAACAAATCCATTTCAAAAACCTGAACAAAAAGATTGATGTCGAGTGGCCTACTGATTCTGGACCTCAGGCTGATCAAGATGCTGTGGTGGGACCTTCAGAGAGCCAGAAAGATGCCTATATGGACTAAAGCTAGTTTATAGTTTACTCAGAGAACCCAAGTAGATCACACATAAATCTTTACTTTTGAATATTGTATTGGGCCAACTTGGTCAACCCTCCCTTCTGATCAGATTTTGTTAGATACCACAGTAATATGCCATGCTCTAGCTGAAAATTTTAACTTAAGCTGATAAAGTTCCACATATATGAAAACAAGCAGAGTCAGTGCACATGTAAATATCTTTTATTGAAGCATCAAGCTCATAGCACAGATATATTTAGCACATCTTGACCATCCAAAGAACAGCTAAAGAAATTAGAACAGCAAAGTGTCTCCTTCAGTACATCCTGACAGATCCAGATAACTGCACCCTCTAAACCCCAGAGGGGGAAATCACTCCAACTTTAAGGAGTGGAGAGTCATTTTTATTTATTCACAAGAGTTATTCAGCTTTAAAAAAAAAAAAGAAATAAAAAGATAAAAAGTCATCCCTTAACTTCTGAACAAACTAGTTTGGGGAAACCGCTTTAACATTTGAACACAAAAGAGGAAATGAAAAATTGGTCCGCAGCAGAAATACAAAATGCTTTGTATAAAATTTTCTGATTATTTTACTGTAACAATGCATTGACTTCACTGTATAAAAAGAAAACAAAATGGCAATGATCCCCAAAAAGTAGCATTAAGATGTCCTTAATCCCACAGCAGCTGTTGGGAAGTCTGAAGAGTGAGGGGTAGGAAATCCCTCCAACCTGCTCCAAGAACTTCCCCGCAGCTTTAAGATAAACTATAACTTAACTGAACCTGTGAAAGTATCGAAAAGAAAATAAAACCCTTTAACGTGTCAGGATGCAGCAGCTTCTATGTGTGCTTCTAGCTGGAAGGTGAAGCACAAACAAAACGAGGAAGAGGTGGCATTAGGCTGTCAAGCAACATGGTACTAGAAGTCACATGCACCACAGTGTCACAGGACGTCCCCCTCAGCGGACAAAAGACCAGCCATCCAAACAAAGAAAACTGCTAGGAAGTCCTATTTTCAACTGATTCAAAAGTTAGGGGGAGAGACAATCAATTTAATAAAATGGCAGTTTAGGCAGGAGTTATATGTGGAATGATCCGGGTTCACCCTGGCATGCTCAGACTGGTGGGCCTCTATTGTGCTTTTACAGATTTCTGTATGGGGCGGAAAGAGACAGAGAGGACGGACACAGAGCAAAAAAAAAACAAAACGCTTTGCTGTTCAACTGAGTTAAATGTGTCAGTTTGAAAGCATTGAAAGCATTTAACACGGTAGCAGCCAGGATGGTCGGCTCCATGGTCTGCAAGGACTGGAAAACGTTTGGTCAGCAGAGGGCATTGTGACTGCGCCGGCTGCTCTCCTGGAGTCGGACATTCAGCTCAAACGCGCTCCAGGCTGTTCTCCATGGAAACAGACATTCAGATCACATCAGCCCAACGAGGGCAAATTGTGAAGAAAAAATAAAAAAGCTGATACCAAGAAACTGGAAAATGAAGTGATGCTTTATGGCCCAGCAAAGCAGAGATCCACTGCTGTAGTGCTCAGTACAGCAACGAAAAGTATCACGCAACTTCAGGATAAACTCAAAACATCCCGACCGAGTCAAAAGATCTGAGAGTTTGGAAGGTCAATACGTCTTAAGTGAGCGGGAAGAGAGTGGAAGACCGCTGAGCCCTGAAGAGGCAGGCCGGTCTGAGCGTGCCAGGGCCCTGCTCTAGTGCGGGCGGAAACCCTGTCTGTGGAGGATGAGGGGGGAGACCTGCAGGAAGGGACCGGTGTACTGGGTGCCGAAGGACAGCCTGGAACAGAGCGCGATTAATTCCTCTACATGCACCTCAGGATCACAGCAAGAGTGAGCTAGAATATCGAGACAGTGAGAAGAGCTTTCATGCAAGAGACTTAAGTCACAGTTACGACAACGCAAACAACTCAAACTGGAGGGTAAACTCAGGGCGAGGCGGGCAGGCGCCGAGCAGGTGGAGAGGGGCGAGGATGTGGCGCCCGAGTGACGGCGGCAGCCGCCACCAACTTTCTTTTTGCGCCTCTTCTTCATCCTCAACCCTCAGCTCTGCTGGTTCTGCTGGCGGTTCTTGGCGTAGCTTGTAAAGACGAAATTGTAATCATTGAACTGAGCCAACTGGCGGTCGAGGCGCTTGTAGCCCTCGAGTTTCTGGGGGGAAGAGAAGACACTGCGACACTTGGAGCTCTGTGGAAGGGGGGGAAATAAAAAAAAAGGGAAAAATTGAGTGAAAATATACAAAGAAACAAAGAGCAATTAAACTATATACACAATTGATTTATACTTGATGGACCACTAGGGGTGCATGTAGCATTCCAAAGTATAGAGCATTTTCTTGTGCAGCCTCACAGTTCTGGAACACATTGCCAATCGATATGTTGCCATGTACAGACTTCTGTAAGTTTTCTGGTATCGTAAAACTGTGGCTCCTTCTGCATCAAGTTTATTCACATAAAATATGCTCAAAATAACCGTTAATATTTACTCATATTTATCTGTGTTTAGATGGGGTACTGTTTTTATTTTGTTCTTATGGTTTGTACAATGAGATTATTTTATTTGTCCCCAGGTTTTGTATTGTTACATGTTGAATTTTAATACTACTGTATGTTTTAATGCTACTACAGATGGTAGTTATAACCTGGTACAGTACATCTCTCCTTCAGTGGACAATGCATGTTGTACACTGTCCCATTTTAAATAAACTCAATTAAACCAGAACTTGCTTTTAATAATGATGGGACTGACCTGATTATATAAAGATAAAACCAGGAATTTACATACTGTATTAATAGTGTCCACACAACATGATGTTATCACTCCCATGCTTTAGTTGGGATGGCCTTTGAGGCTTGGAAGAGTCCCACAGTTTTTCCTCTAACATGAGGATTTGCTTCATGTTCACATATTTGACTGTTTGACCACAGGACAACTAGCCAAATATAAAACTTTATTCTGAGTGCATAAACTATGGCAGCATTTATCTGCCACAGCTTAAAAAATTTCAGGAGTAGCATCTCACTATGAGGAGACGTAAAAGTCAATAAAAACAAAACTGGTTAAAAAAGAGAAACTTATGAGATTTACATGTTGCTAAAACTAATTTTCTGGCTGCTACTGGGTGATATTTTTATTCCCTTTTCTAAAGACTTCTGTGATTGTAGTCTGGCATTTATACATTTTGGCTAATATTTGTACTTCTTGATAAGAGTAATGATCGAAAAAAGGAAAAATACATTAGAAAACATTAAGTTTTTCATACTTCAAACTTGAGACTGAAAGTGCAGTATAACATAAAAGCCAGTATTTAACAATTCTTCAGTTTAAGTTTGCTTTAAGTATTTAAAAATTAAAGTGAGATATTTGTTTTTGCAACTTAAATTTTTTTTCCAATTACTTCAAAGTAGGGAATAAAAGTAATGTTTGAATTGTACTGCATATTAAATAATTAAAGGTTTTCTTATCAAAATATGAATTAGTTGTTTTTACCAGCATTTTCATCTTTTGTACAAGCTTAAGTAGCTAAAACAGCACAGGACAATTTTTTTATTCGATTAATTAGAATAATCACCACATTACTCAATTACTAAAATAGTACTTTACTTTGTTTTAATCTAACCAAGTAAGTTGTTCAAGAATAAATTCTAATTTTCAACAATGACCTGTTTAGAAAAGAGCCCTATTTTCAACAATATGTCAATATACCTGGATGGAAATCCAACCTGTTGGGTTTTTAATGTGCCTCCAGATGACATGAGCTGTCAACTGAAGTTAATTAAACAGACTGAAACGACATTACAGCTGCACACACCTGGTTGACAAAAAGTGTAGTCACAAATTTTCCTGGCTTGAACACATCAACGACCTTCCTGATCAGATCGTCGTAGGACGTCTGGGAGAGGTTGGTCTCGAAGCTGACGTAGGAGAACTCTGGCTCCGGGGTGATGTGGATGGTCCAGTAAGTTCCCTACAAGAAAAAACACAACAACGTTACCGACGCGCTCGCATCCGTCGGCGCAGAGGACGGTGATGTCGCAACTCACATCAGTCTTCATTCCGTTCATTGAGTATCCACAAGGGTTGAACATTGTGGCGTCGATCACAGAACCTGGTATCAGGTCACGAATTCCACTCCTCTGAGGGCAGAATGGGAGGAGACGGTTAGGACTGGGGATGCACCGATCTGCTGTTTTCACGTATGGTGCCGATATCTGAGGTTTACTTCTCGGCCATACTGATCCCACACAGAAAAACTACTGAAAAACTTGAAGGGTTTCTTTTAAATACAAATGCATAAATGTACTGAATTACAAATTTATTTAATAACTCTGCATCAGTACAGCACACTTAAATGCATAACAGTTACAAAAGCTTGGTAAACGTGTAAAAACAACTTCAATTTATTCAGTCAGTGCAGGTAGGAGAATGACAGCCAATGGAAAAGAAATAAAGAAACTGATAATAGGTTGGCTACCTTGGCTTAACATGTTCAGAATAAACCTAAAAATTTTTTTTTTTTCAAATGGTTCACAAAGTGCAATTAGGAATTCTAAGTATAATGATTGAATAGATCTGCCTTTCTGACTTTGGCACCGATGACCAATCTGGAAATTTTCAATACTGGGACCAATACAAATATTAAAGAGGTAATATTATGCATTTTTCAGGCCATTTTATAGCACAATCAAGTAATTGTGATATCTTTTGCTGTTCTTACAAAAATGCTATATTTATCAAATACATCTTAAAAAATTTGACTTTGATATTTCATGCCTTGCAATTGGGTCTCTGTCTTTAAAAACTTCTCTTTCTGAAACTCCTCCTTCAGGAAGTCATACCATTGTTCCTACATTAACCTTTTAACAACATTTTTACCAGTGTTACATTGAGAAGTAGCTTGTATGAGTTCAGCAATTGTGCAGTTCCACCAGGTGTTTGCTAATTGCTGCTGCTAGTCTGAAGGAACTGAGTGGGGTAGGACTGCTCTGTGAGGCTAAAGATGAGAAACTGCAGTTCTGAGGAGGAGCTGCGTCTCAAAGGCGGAGCTAGGTCCATCCAGGTGTTTTTTCAGAGATTGCCATGGAGATTAAAGGATTTCTCAAACATGCATGAGAGAATCAAGGCAATACTGCAGATTACGTTTTAAATGAGGGAATATTATGATAACATGACGTAAAGCTCAAACAAGCTTATCTTGTATAATACTGCACCTTTAACATCAGATCGGTGCATCTCTAATTAGAACTGTTCCCCCGTCGCTCCAAACAGCCACTGCTGCTTTAGGTTACTTACACGAGTGACCTCACTTGCGGAAACACCGTCTTTCATGTAGAACTGGTCCATAATGGCTGGGTCGAGGTCGCTCATCAAAACTTCCAGCGTCTGATCAGCCTTCTTGTTCTCCCAGTACTCCGGCAGATCCAGGGTGAACAGGTACCTGCAGGGCAACGGAGCGGTCAGGACGATCCACAGGGGAGGGGCCTGACACCTCTGAATGTGCTGCCATTAAAGGAACAAAGCCCCAGGGACACACCTCAGCCATCTGGTGGCATTACCGTATTTTCCGCACTATAAGGCGCACCGGATTATAAGGCGCACCTTCAATGAATGGCCTATTTTA